TAAATTAAGCTGAATCGTTTAAAATAAGTTTCGAAGGGATACGGGATCACGTTCGAGAGTTATTGAGATTTCAACATATATAGTACGGGGATTAGTGATAAGGTCCCTAGGGACCTTGTACAATTTTAGAAGAAATAACAATTTACTTGTCTTCATGTTTCGATTTTTTTTCACTTGTTCTTCAAATTATTTCATTCCTAATATATATGCAGGACGTTAATTTAATCAAAAGACAACATAAATACCAAAGAAGTTGCACATGTACAGTCGAAACATCGAGCAACTCTTTGTAGGTCCCTAAGGACCTTCTCACGAATCTAACGTCATCGGCACTGTCACTCATCGGAGGGTTAAAAGAGGTGGAGACAAGAAACATACAATAAGTCGCAAACTTTGTTAGATTAACGAATTTAAATAAACTGATTTAAAAATGTATTATGTATAGGTTAAGTATATTGAATTAATATTAATAAGTTTTTTCGAGAGAGCCGAAGGTCTATGCAACTAGCGCTCCTTATTTATTGTAAGTCAGTGATTGATCACTTTCTTTCTGTATAATAATAATAATAATAATAATAATAACTAAATTATGCATTTTATTTTTAACTAAAATGTTTTCTTTTGTTTTCTTTTTAATAGCATTTAATGAAAAATGCATTTGATATCATGTTCGAAAGTTTGAAATATTTATGTATTTTATTTTGCTTTTAATTAATACTCAAAAAATTTAACACTAATTATTAGCAAATCTAAGGCTGCTAAATGAAAATATGTAATATATTAAAGTGGCTTTGGTCCATAATTGGACTAGTATTTTTCTGTCTATTTTGAACTAGTATGAGACTGGTATATTTCTGACCGAAATCTGACAATTGCCATCTCGTAGGACATCCCCATGTTAAAAATACCAGTTGATTGTATGGAAAAAAGATAGTTGGCTGACTAGTTGGGCATGCGGTTCATACTAGTTGTGAGGTAGTTTACAACTAGTACATTTGACTACAGGGTAGCTTCATGTTGCAAAAATGTTTCAAGGAAATGTTTGGGGAATTTCACACTTATTTCTTGTTTATTTCTTATTATGCTATGCTTAAGAACAAAATATTTTTAAATCGACAAAACATTAATAAGAAAATTTGAAGGATTTTAGATATTGGGTATGGTAGCACGAAATGTCACAATCTGCTTAATTGTCAGGTTGTTAATATGGC